TATAGTTTTCGAAAGAGTCATCAGGATTTGTCAGTCTGTACAGAGGTTTGTATACTCTACTATGGAAAATTCTACTCACATTCCACCCTTAAATAAAGCCATGGAGGAGGAGCCCACTGCAGATTGTTTGCAGACTCCTGTAGCCTCAAAGAGGACCAAGGAATCAAGCTTTCTTTTCAGACCTATATAGTATAAATGACATCTAGCCATCAAGAGTGAATTTATTGCCTCAAAAAGTACTACTGAAAAGATTTTGATATAGAAAGCTCACAGTGAAAAGCCTCTGATGACTTTCAGGACATAAGGGGGATAAAGTCGGTGGACTAATGCTAATAATAGACACTACCCTCAAGTTCATTGCTGGAGGGAAAGCCCTGCGGATTCATATTCCCAAACACAGCACAGACCAATACACAGCAGAGACACCAACACAAGCACAGCCACTGCGTAGTGTCATTAACCTTAACTTAACAATAACTTTGGCTATACAGATTTGAATTTTCGAAAGAAAATGTCAGTGTTCGCTAAAGCAGCAAAACAATTGTTTTGTTTTAGGTAAGCTTAGGTTTTGCATGAATCATACACTTCATCAGTTTTTTTTTTTTTGCATGTGCACAGGATTCAACATTGTGCCGCCTTTTTCATTTAAGAACCGTCACAATTAAGTAAGCAAACAAATGCATGAAAAAAGACCCACTGCAACCACAGTGTGCAAATATTTCTGTCAATCATTGTTGGTTACACATTGAATGCAAAACATTTTAACAATGCAAGTTAATAGGACATTTTCAAACTTTGATATGAAATCTCTTCAAAGGTAGCACATCTAAAGGTGAAGTGACATTAGCGAAATTTCAGTGAGATTTCACAAGCAAAAAAGATCCATTGTCCAGTGTAGCAATGTATGAATGACATCTCACACACTATCAAACTAAAAAGCTTTCTGTTTGCAAATGCGGCAAATGTGTGTGACCAATCTGTGTGGGGAATTTTTTCACCCTCAGATGAAACTCCCGATCACACGGATTCCTACTGAAATGATTTTGCCTGTGAAATTTCGCTGAGCAACAATACATGTGACCTCACATTGAGACTTTGAATTATGTCCAAAAAAAGCATATTTTGAAGGAACCCGTTTATTAAGTGGTCTGAACTGAATTAATCTGCTGAAATTTAAGAAGAAGATAAGAGAAAAAGAAGATAAAGAAAAGAGGAGGAAAAGAAGACAAAGAAAAGCAAAAAAGAAGAGGAAGAAGAGGAAGAAGAAGAAGAAGAAGAAGAAGAAGAAGAAGAAGAAGAGAGTGTTTGAAGAATAAGTTACCAAAGTTACCAATATAACCAGTCACAAAGATCAACCTTCAAGAAAATCACAATCACTGTGGCGACCACAGCATTGCATGGAACCTGATCCAGAATCCTCAATGAAACGTGACATCATGGCAACAGGGCCACAAACAAAATGGAGAAGAAGAAGAAGAGAGTGTTTGAAGAATAAGTTACCAAACATTGAAATATAACCAGTCACAAAGATCAACCTTCAAGAAAATCACAATCACTGTGGCGACCACAGCATTGCATGGAACCTGATCCAGAATCCTCAATGAAACGTGACATCATGGCAACAGGGCCACAAACAAAATGGATTATTAGACATCAAGTCAAATGACTTTTATGGCTTAGAAGGCTAGAGTATAAAACACGTTATGAGGTGTGTGACTAATCTGACATTACAATCTCAGACGTTAATACCTTTTTATATAGCTATTACTATCTAACTGTAAAGACTATGCAAGAACATTATGTGCCCTTGTAAAAAACAATTGAAATAAAACTTTATGCTTTCCAGGTAATATGATCTTTTACAGACGCCTCAGGAAAGCACATGTGAGCACAAATATTTCCTGAATATACTCATATATATATATATATATATATATATATATATATATATATAGTGAGGTAAAAGGATTTAATGTGTGTTTTTGTGTATTTATATCATCCTCAAATGAATGCTAGTATATGATACTGAAAAAAAAAATTGTTTATTCAGGTCAGCGGAAATGCAAAACAGATCACTTCTGTTTCTCTACAACACAAGCGGTTTTATTTTTTTAGCCTTGTGACAAGCCATCATTGTGGTGGACGGCCACAGCACAAACGCAAACAAGCAGACTGCAAAAGTGTCACAATTAACCACACAAACACACAAAAAAACAGCACAAGTGTGATCACTGATTACAGAGAGCAGGAGCATGATCGTTATCACATGAAATGCTTAAACCGCTTGCACTGATTAAATCAGAATGATCAAATCAAATGATATGGATTTTTTTTCTTTTACCTGGTCCTTTGGCTCCTCCTCGTAAAATGCGTCCAAGACGAAAGATAATCGCCCTTTCGTATTCCTTCACTATCTGTAGGAACAAAAAGTATTTTTAGAAAAAGGGCTAAATTATAAGGTAAAACTGCCCCTAAGTATGTAATTTAGATGTTGCATGGCAACCTTTATCATGCGTTCATCATTATTCTTATAATCATAAAGATGATAAAGATAAAGATTATAGGACTTCCCATGATGAACAGTCCTATCTGGTGTGAAAAAAATTTGGCAAAAATTTGATTGACAGATACAGGAATGATCAACACAACTTAAATATACCCACACTTTTGACCAATGAATTGTCATTTTGATTTCCAAAATAGGATTGTAAAATCATGTTGTAGAGTTTGCCCAGCAATTCCCAGCTAATTAATCATTTTAGAGCCGAGTATAACTAGACAATTTTTAGGGATGCACAATTTATAAGTGTCATATTGGTTGAATTATTTCTTTAATTTATCAGTATCAGTTGATAACAGATATATATTGGTCAGTACTAAATATTTAATTGTATATGCTTATTTCCACTATTTTTACATTTAGATGACCTTTGCAGTCATCTAACGCTCACTTAAGTTGAGCTTTAATAACATTACTAATTTAATAACATTGTAATTATAAAAACTTAACATGTAATCTTTAGCAAATCTCAAAATGAACATGCAGTGTATCATAATACCGTGATGCCTAAAATCACTTGTAGCAAATGACTGATTTTAGAACCCCCGTTATACAAAGATTTAAAGGAAAAGGTGTGGGTTTTGCTGGGCCATTCCTGTGCACAATACGACATCCACAAATTAAAGGAAGACCACCACTAAATACCTTAATGCACATCCATATGGAGAGAGGCAGGGTCAGCAATGTGAGCAGGATGGAGAAAATCACCAAGATCCAACCACACAAGCCAATGTCACTGTCTGTATTCTCCAAGGCTGTAAGGCAAAGCAAATGTGCATATGCATAAACTTTCATTATATTACTATACAATAAAAAAGATACACAAATGCACACACAAAAAAGTCACACACAAATGCACATTAACCTAACACGGCTCATAAAAATGATGGGTTAAATGAGTTCAAAGATACAAAAACACAACCTTTTAGCTTCAAGCTGAAGTGCATGCATTATAGCCATTCAACCACATCGATAAGCCACACATTGCAAATGAACGCTTCCCTACAATTAAAAAAATAAATAAACAAACAAAACTGCTATTGCTATGCTTTTAAATCTTACCTACCTTCAGTATCATCAATTGTGTGACACCACCGATCTATAGAGAAATGTAACTGTAAGAGGCTACTGTATGTGTGGCCTAAAACCCTTAGTCTATGAGCCCATAAGCCCAAATAAGGGATAAGACATTTCCTTGAGCAGATCCATCCAGAGCAAATTACATTAACTGCTGCGACAGTCAGAGCAAAGTAAGATTGAATGCTGGATATGATTATTGAGCAGGACAATGATCACAGTAATTGTAGAATGATTAAATCATCCCTGCTTTGCACTGACCTCGTAACATTTGCATTAAGGCTAAGATCTTTGACCACCAGCCACATGATCAGAAACACCATGCTTTTACACGGGATTTAATGTTGATCTATTTAAGCATTATGTTTGTCTTTAATACAGTATAAATAGTTATATTTTGATTACTCCAAAATAAAGACCTAGTGTTCCCCAACATAATCAACATAATCAGTTTTGCATAAAGATGACATAAAGTAGCTCCAAATGTTGTCTAGACATTTATATGCAACGAAGATGCGTTTTTTACTACTTTTACTAAACCACCTCACACCATCCTATAGGATACTACGATACCACACTATACCATACAATACTACACTATACTATATCACACCATAACACGTCATATTTGTTTTATCATTATTACTTTATTATATTGCAAGATCAATTCAGACCCTGAACAAACAACAAAAACAATGAATGAAATAATAAAATAAACAACAAAATATCAGGTTATTATTTTGACGAAGACAGAAGTGCTTGGACTGTATAGTGCTGTAAGACTGATTTTAATGTTGGGGTATGAGCACCTGTTGTTGCCCAGTTTGGCACAGAGGGCATAAAGACACACCCATGCTGCAATATCAATAATAACAACAGACCCTGAAGAAGATAAAAATGGGGAGCATGGACATGCTTCCAATGTATATATCTTTTTAAAAGCAGTTTTAATCTTATTAAAGGCAGTATACAGAGACATTTAGTATGGCTTACGCGTTTTATGTCAACTGAACGCAGCGTATATCCACACAAGTGATATTAAATAATAATTAGCCAACCTATTTGTCGATCCTTCCTTTTTTGCTGTCTCATCGCTGCTGTTTCCCTGCCATCTTCCATTGTCGGATATCTTTGAATTATTCAGGGCTGATATGGAGCAGTTATTGAGCAGGACAATGATCACAGTAATTGTAGAATGATTAAATCATCCCTGCTTTGCACTGACCTCGTAACATTTGCATTAAGGCTAAGATCTTTGACCACCAGCCACATGATCAGAAACACCATGCTTTTACACGGGATTTAATGTTGATCTATTTAAGCATTATGTTTGTCTTTAATACAGTATAAATAGTTATATTTTGATTACTCCAAAATAAAGACCTAGTGTTCCCCAACATAATCAACATAATCAGTTTTGCATAAAGATGACATAAAGTAGCTCCAAATGTTGTCTAGACATTTATATGCAACGAAGATGCGTTTTTTACTACTTTTACTAAACCACCTCACACCATCCTATAGGATACTACGATACCACACTATACCATACAATACTACACTATACTATATCACACCATAACACGTCATATTTGTTTTATCATTATTACTTTATTATATTGCAAGATCAATTCAGACCCTGAACAAACAACAAAAACAATGAATGAAATAATAAAATAAACAACAAAATATCAGGTTATTATTTTGACGAAGACAGAAGTGCTTGGACTGTATAGTGCTGTAAGCCTGATTTTAATGTTGGGGTATGAGCACCTGTTGTTGCCCAGTTTGGCACAGAGGGCATAAAGACACACCCATGCTGCAATATCAATAATAACAACAGACCCTGAAGAAGATAAAAATGGGGAGCATGGACGTGCTTCCAATGTATATATCTTTTTAAAAGCAGTTTTGCTTCTCAGTAATGTTTTTCTTCTCGGGACAGATCCGTTTCTACGTGTTGTTCAACCCCCCTCTCCCGCTGTGAGGGGGGTGGGCTGGCATTTCCTTTTTCTTCTTCTTTTTGTTCAATGGCCATTCACTCCTTGGGAGTATTACCGCCACCTACTGTATATCTTGCGCACATGGGTGATGAATCTGTACTGAAGAAAAAAAATGTAATACAAATTGTAATGCCCCACCCACCCCAGAGGATCAGAGCCCAAGCTTCAGCTGGCGCTGCGTGTTCAGCTCCTCCAGCTTCCACACTGTGCTCCTCAACCTCCGAGATGGGCAGAAGCATCATGATCCTCATCCTCAAACACTAAATCCTGTGGTATAGTCCTGTAAGCTCTAAAAATGTTAAAGGGGTCATATGATGTTGCTAAAAATAACATTATTTTGTGTATTTGGTGTAATGAAATGTGTGCTATTTTCCCATCTTTGTTGCCATATTCTTATTATTTCCCTATTAATTACTGATTTTATCTCATTCCTTCCCAGAGGTACCTTAACATCCACCAAGTTTTTCTTTAAAGCTTCTTTTGCTAACTTATCCGCTGTTTCATTCCCTACTATCCCGATATGTGCCGGCACCCAACAAAAGTATACGATTATACCCTCTATTTTCAGTCTGTACAGTAATGTATAAATTTCTACTAGCAGGTCTTCTCTATCAGTTTTTGTCGACAATATACTTTTAAGAGCTGATGAAGAATCTGAGCAAATTACAGTCGGAGTGCTATTTGGCTTAATCTGTTCTACCCACTGCAATCCTACTATCATAGCAGTTAATTCTGTAGAATATACAATTTGTCACTTAACCTTAAACTTATTTTCGTCTTAAATCTTGGAATGTACACTCCTATGCCCACTTTTTGTTTGATTGGGTCTTTAGATCCATCTGTATAGATCTGTATAAAAGAATAAAAATTTTCTCTCATAAAAACATTGATTTCATAACTATTAGTATATCTTTCTTCTGCTTTTTCCCGGGCCTCCAACAATCTCATTTCAACAATGGGTTCAGGAATATTCCATACCGATACCCCATTTAATGGCATGTTGGGACAGATTTCTTCATTCTCCAGACCACAATCCTTGACCCACTGTTCAATACTTCCAACCAAAACTATTCCCTCCATTCTTTTTATATTCCCAACAATCATTTAAAATTGTGCGTGCACGATGATTCTTATTACTACCCTGTAAATTAACCCAATACATCATCGCAAGATTTTCTCTTCTCAAATCTAATGGCATCTCCCCCATTTCGACCCTGATGGCATCTAGAGGGGTTGACCTTATTGCCAATCCCCAATCTACTGACCACCTTTCAACTTCATTCATTGATTCTTGTATTCCTTTAACTACATTTCCTAAATTCCTACCTCTTCTCCATACTGCACCATCATCTGCATATAATGCCTTCCCAATGCTTGGTTTAACTCTTTCAAATATATCATTAATCATTACATTAAATAAAATTGGACTGATTACACTTCCTTGTGGAGTCCCATTCAGGATATCATACGATGCTGACATTTCTTCACCTATTCTTACCTGGAATGTACGCTCAAACAAAAAATCTAATATCCAATTATACATTCTCCCCCCATTCCGATTTGATTCAACTTAATTAACAGTCCCTCCCTCCATAAAGTGTCATATGCCTTTTCAATGTCAA